TAATTGTCCTTACTGCCTGGTGACCTCAATATTTTGCAGGTGGTGGCATTTTATATTATAGAAAATAAAGGGACAGGATTAACATCACAGCTTAAGGCTAGGATGGGATATGGTCAGTGTCTGGGATAGGAGTGTGTCTCAATATTTTGAATATATTTAAATAAAAGTCTGTGTTGTTTGGATAAAAATGAGGTTTGCTAGTACCCACAGTAGCAGATACACCAGTTGTAATTCAGGTTTTAAGTCACTGCTGTATTGTAAAATTAATATTATACAATGGATATGTGAGAGGAGCAATGACAAAACTTGTCACTTCTAAAACTTCAGCATTCACACAAAAGAGAACCAGACGTACAGGGAAAGGAGAACAGGTTTTTTTCAAGCTTGTGTGCTATTTCTTATGCAGGAGAAAAATGAAGCAAAGTGACTGTTAATGCACACATGTATTGAGTCAGCTAAGAATAAATTATGAAGCCTGAAAACAGATGCTAGTGCTTTGTTGATACAAAGAAAAATGCTTTGTATACATCACTGCGTATTAGAAAGCATCACTTTTGAGGATTTTGCACAACTTTACTAATATACCCAGAAGCTATGGAAAGCTTCCTCTTAGTGTGTGTGCATGGATCTGTGTGACAACTAAGTGAAAGGGTAAATACAAGAGTACTTAAATGGTGCTAACACCAATACTACAAATTCTCCAACAGATGTGTCTCAGAATGAGGCATATATAATAAGAATAGCTTTACCACCAGATCCAATCTGAGTTGGTCACTGGGACTAGAGGTTTGTTCTTCTAGGGTTGAGCCCATCCTCAGGGAACTTCTCAATCACCAGGACTGAGTTCTGTTCTGTGTATACTATTTATGTGGTGTCTGGTTGTGTGTGACTTTGAATTGTTCATTGGGGGTGTTGATGGCTGGCTATTAAGTCATAGATTGTTGATTCCTTGTGCTGCTATGCCCTCAGCTCCTAAGTACCTGGTAGTAAATGGCAAGGGTACGGTTTCCCAGGCTTCAGTTATTTCTCTGGCTGTTTTTATCCATGCTCGGTCAACAATCTTAGTAGCTGCAAAATTGAATACATGTCCTTGTTCATGGCAGGCTACCAATAGGTTTGGGTCTCCTCTTCTAACAGTTTGTTCATGTTCTTTAATTTGGTGGTTAACTTCCTCCCGATCTGTCCTACATAATCACAAGGGCAATCCATGCAGGGAATCCAATAAATTTATCCCACTTCCAACCAATCTTTGTGCTGCATGATTTGATCTCGTGTGGTAGCCTCTGGGTGGTGGGCGATACCCACTTTCAGATCTCGGATGCTGTGTTCTACTGCTTCTGAAATGTTTTTGATGTATGGCAGGGTGTGCTATATAGTTGGTTTCTTTCTTTCTTTCTTTCTTTCTTTCTTTCTTTCTTTCTTTCTTTCTTTCTTTCTTT